GTTAGACAAAGACAACTATTTTAATTTACATAATGAGTGAAAGAGACATTTCAAAAAGACATCAACGGGTGCTTAATTGTTATCACTTTGCACCATTATATTACCAGTATAAGTTGAACTCCGGTGCAGTTGAAATAAGTTAACGTAATAAGAATAGAATTTACTTACCGATGAAATGTTATGCCATTTTTTTGATAACTGGATGTCTTAGCTGACTTGCCACACCATTTCACTGCACAGGAAGCCATTTGTAATGTATTTTTGATACAAAACTATTTTTAAATTGTCAAAAACTCGGAGGCGTGTACGGGTCACAAACTTGGTAGACAATGATATCGTAATTCATAGCGTCACTTCATATGCTAGCTACAGCAAGCATGTGTTGCGCGCGTTTGTGGCCCTGTATGCGGAATCTATTAGGAGGTAATCTGTGGCTCCAGATGACCTACTTACCGTTTGGCCTTTCTCTGCACCGAGAACGTTTACCTCAATAACAAACTGGGTAGCAGAGTTTCTTAGGAATCGGGGCATCAGATGTGTAGTTTATTTGGATGATTTTCTATTGGCAAGCCAGTCGATGCAGAAACTACAAGAGGATATATTATTAACGATAAAGATCATGCAGTTATTAGGTTGGAAAATAAATTTCGAAAAGTCCGTGCTGATTCCGTGCCTCGAGTTTCTCGGTATAACATGGAACACAAAACTCAATGCGAAGTCCTTATCGGAGAAAAAGTGCTTAACGCTACGCAACGCACTTCAGCAACAGCTCTTAAAAGGCAAGTGGTCCCTCAAACAGTATCAGATCTTAATGGGAAGACTCAATTTTGCCACTTACGTAACCCGGAGTCGTTGGTCGGCTTCACTGTCGAACACTGCAATACTTCAGTCAACAGTTGTCAAAGGACTACCCTTACCGCCAAGTGTGTATTCCACTACCAGTTCAATCCGGGATGGAGTGGTGGCTACAAGCTCTAAGTCAATCTGTACCGATACACATGAATGCAGTAGTAACTCACCTTCTAACAACCGATGCTTCAGATATCTGCTGGGGCGCTCAACTCTGCGTTATAAGTACCGGGGGGACCTGGATGAACCGGCAACTAACCTGGCACGCAAACAGAAAAGAAATGTTTGCGGTTCATGCAGCGATATCACACGAACGAATTCTGCTACAGAACTCACAAGTGCTTCTTCAGACAGACAATCGAACTGTGGTGTCTTATGTAAACAACGAAGGCGGAAGCAAGTCCAAAAAGCTTCTCGAGCAAACTCGACAACTCCTTGGACTTCTAGACAAATTCAATATACGAGGGTGGATTGAAAAGTACTCGGCCTAACACAGATCCATTCAATTCTAAAAATCAAATCTACCCACATTATTTAGTTCAGTTCAAACTAGTTCATTGTGTGAAGTTCGAAACGTGTGCGATAATTAGTTGTGATTTTATAAATTTATTAACAAAGTAATCGGACATAATTTCCGCGAATGGAGCAAATCGAGCAGCGTGCCGACATTAAGTACCTCCATAAGAAGGGGCTATCATCAAAAGCCATCCATGATGACATGGTCAGTACATTAGGCGATTGTGCTCTGTCATATTCATCCGTCAAAAAATGGATAGCAGAATTTAAGCGTGGTAGAGAGAGTGTGAAAGATGAACCCCGCTCTGGAAGGCCTTCGACGTCAACTACTGACAAAAATATTAAAAAAGTACTTGATTTAATAATGGGAGACCGCAGATTAAAAATTAGAGAGATAGCCGAGATTATAGGCATCTCTTATGAACGAACTCAAAACATCATTGTCAACGAGTTGGGTTTCCACAAGGTGTCTGCGAGGTGGGTTCCGCGACTGCTTTCAGTTGAACAAAAAAGGACGCGATTGACTATTTCACGCGACTGTTTGGAGTTATTTGAAGCCGATGCAGATGATTTTTTGAATCGTTTTGTTACTATGGACGAAACATGGGATCATTACTGTACACCGGAAACAAAACAACAATCAAAACAGTGGAGAAGACCTGGTTCACCACCCCCTAAAAAGGCTAAGTCGATTTTGTCGGCAAATAAGGTGATGGCTTCAGTATTTTGGGACTCGAAAGGTGTGATTATGATTGATTATTTTGAAAGGGGTCAGACTATAAACTCTGATTACTACTGCACCTTACTACGTCGTTTACGAGAGGAAATAAAAGAAAAACGTCGAGGAATGCTCAGAAGAAAAGTCCTGTTTCATCAAGATAACGCCCGTGTTCACACGTCAGTACAGTCAATGGCTGAAATTCACAACTGTGGCTTTGAACTGTTACCGCATCCGCCGTATTCACCTGATCTGGCACCATCAGACTTCTTTCTGTTCCCTAACCTAAAAAAGCACTTGGGAGGTCAAAGATTTTCGACAAACGACGAGGTCAAAGCAGCTGTAGACGCATATTTTGACTCTAAGGAAGAATCATTTTTTTTCAACGGTCTAAATGCTTGGAAGGGGAGGTGGCAAAAGTGTATTGAACTTGATGGTGATTATGTAGAAAAATAAAAATATAACTGATTCAGTATGTGTTTATTTTCTTGGTTAGGCCGAGTACTTTTCAATCCACCCTCGTAGCTTATGCCTTCAGGCCCAGTACTTTCCAGGCAGATTCAATGTCGAAGCGGACGTTTATCACGCCAAAAGGCTTGCCCCGAGTGGCATCTCACAATAGCCGCGACATCCAAAATATTTCGAATGTGGGGCACACCGGAGATAGACCTATATGCGTATTCTGCTCACGTGACCCCGAAGTATGTTTCAGTGAACATTCAAGATAAGCAAGCACAACATCACAACGCATTTTGTCACCACCCGATCTTATTCCCAGAGTCCTAAACCATTTAAATCAAGCCAGCAGAACATACATATTAATTGCCCCGAAATGGAACAAGGTGTTTTAACAAGCAGGTGTTCAACGCCGTTGACAATAGCAGTTTAATATACAAACAAAGTAGCATTATCTTATGGCCAACCTTTGGTTCCAAAACGGACAGCATTAATCATAGACAGTCTGGTTGGAGGCTTAAAGAACATCCTGATAAAAATTTGAATATTATTTTCTGGATAAGACAATTATTGAAGATATCTAAAAATCGCAGAAAGGCTATAAATCATTTATTTATTACAGCTAGAGGTGACGCTAAGCCAGCATCCCGTACTGTAATTGCTGGGTGGGTAAAATCGCTTTTGAGAGAGGCGGGTATCGAAGCTACTCCTGGTTCAGTAAGATCAGAAGTATCTTCTTTAAATTCGTTAGAAAATTTTTCCCTAGATAAAATCCTTGCGACGGGTAATTGGAAAACTGTGCACACATTTCAAAATTACTATAAAAAGGAACTAAAGGAAATTGCGGCAAATAATTCTGTATCGTTATCAAATTCAAGCTGGTAGTACCAGTTACTCGACTCCACCGAGTCAGTAATTCATTCTTGGGGCGATGCATGTACGCTTTTACAACAAAATCCCAGAAAATATACAAAATTTGTCATACACAAAGTTCAAAAATGTTATTAAACTAAGTTTGTATAAAAAGGGTTATTATAATATTAAGGAATTTATAGATGATAATAACCCCGGGGAAGGGTGATCGCTACCAAGCTATTTCTAATTTGTCTTGTGTTGTTGATTGTAAACATGATTGTAAGCTATTATTAAAAAAATAGTCCCGCTGGGTTTCTTGCTGGTTCTTCCCAGGACAGAGGTTTTTTTTTGCGAAACAGTGGTAAATTAAAAAAGTGACTTTCAATAAGTATTTTTATAATCTACATTGAATAAAAAAAGTTTCTATTTCTATTTCTAAAATTATTTTGATGCCATTAATTGATTAGTAGAGCAAATATTATATTAGTTTGATATTGTAATTAACAAAAGCAAAACTTATTGTCATGATCGCCAGTTATAATCAAATAATGCGATTGTAATATATTATATAATGTTTGTTGATGTATATCTTACAAAACTCTTTTATTGTTTACCTTACACATTATAGGCTTAATAACTGTTATAAGTTATTAGCACCAGGTGATAACAAACACACCACTCAAGATGGATATATAACTAATAATGGAGAGTTTTACCATAAAATAAAACTTACCTATTATTTTTTAATCAATATCCGGAATCCAGGTAAGGGCTATCTGGTGCATCCTGAGTATCATAATATAAGTATCATAACGAGACCTAGTGCTCATCACTACTTAAATATTAAAGCAAAAACAGTGGCGAGGTGCCCCCTCCATGCAGGTAAAGTAGCCGGAAATGCTGACTTTAGGCGGAAAGAGAAGTGCTTGACTCAAGATGGATTCCGGATATCGATTAATACTCGTAATAAGATAATAATAAGTAATAATAAGGCGTAGGGGAGTAACGACCCCATCGCCCGCTGACGAAACGGTTAAGTGACAAAACTGCTACGTCGGTGCAGTCAGTCAGCGCCTTGCGAAGAGGTGTGAGCGCCGTGCTTCGGCAGTACTCAGGGTGCAAAGGCCCGTTTGTGCTTACGGCCGTACAATGATACAATGAAACGGTGCCGGGCCTGGGCGTCTACCGTTAATTGGCGCCCAAAAATAGATGATGGATATGATTAGAAAGCGTATAGGGCCGCTGCCTGGGGGTCGCCGGGGCGCGTCTGGAGCTGGCGCTGGACGCGGCAGCATGCGGGCCGCCAGCCGAGCGCGAGGAGCTGCAAGATCACCTAGCAGCCCGCCGCATCCATCATCCCCACCAGACGGCTTGATGTCGGCAGGGTCCTCTCGGACTCGGCAAGCGGCATCCGCCGCTGGTGGAGTGCGCCGCATGCGTTGGACAAGGGATATGAACGCAAACGCATTGCGGGCGTACTATAGGGTGAAAGGGGAAGAAACTGCGGGGATAGCGTATCGGGCTCTGATGCATTGCTTTTTTTGCTGAGCTGGAGCCGTCTATTCCCGTCACGGAACAAAACCTGGCAGACCGAGTTCGGTACATCATGCTCTCGAAAATATTTGATGATGCCGAGCTCGAACGACTACGACGTGAGGCCATTCCCTCATCGAATGAATTGGCTACTATTGGGGATGCGGCTCCTCAGGCGACAGACAAGCTGCCACGCGTAGAAGCCGCCGTGGATCTTCCAGTTGTGGTTGATTCAGACGATGATGAAATGGTCTCCCACGAACTAGAGCAAATGAGGAGTATATTGGAAGAGACGATTTTGGAAACGCGCAGCATACCTCTCGAAAATCGACCGCGACTTCCCCCGCATACCCCTAAGCAAGCGAAATGGGGCTGTCGTGAGGGCTCTTAACCCAATGCTGGTAACCTATTTGGAAGCCAGCCGGGACGTTTGCGAGACGGACTCGGTTCTTTTTGGAGCCGCAGTGGCAGCTTGCCGTATTATTGGCGCCAAACTTCCCATGGCTGGACGCGCTACTAAACAAAGTAGCGCCATCCCAGCCTGGAGAAAAAGAATTGAGAACCGTATCGCAAAGGCAAGGGCCTTTATCGGCAGACTGATAAGCTTCAGATCGGGTAATAATAGACCGAGGGTTGTGCGCACCGTTAGAATGGCGTTTGCTGGGACAAATATCAGTTTGTCACAGCCGGATATCACGCAGAAACTAACTGAGCGCATAGACGACCTGAAGCAAAAGATTGCTGCTTGGGGGAAGCGAATTCGCCGATTTACCGAGAGGTCAAGACGGTTCAACCAGAATCGTCTCTTCCAGAGTGATCAGAAGAGGCTTTACAAATCATTGGAGCGACCAAAGGTATGTGGAGCGGGCCAAGGAGCGGATCAGGCTAACACTGTCGCATTTTGGCGTGGTCTGTGGTCAGAGCCCGTAAACCACAGCGAGGGCCCTTGGACGGAAGTTGTGGCAAGTCAGCGTGCGAGTATTACGCCCATGGACCCCGTCATCATAATACCGTATGACGTAGCTGAGGCGGTCCGTAGGGCTCCGAACTGGAAAAGTCCGGGGCTTGACGGGCTGTATCACTACTGGCTGAAGGGGTTCATGGTGTGTCATGCTGTGCTTGCTCGACAGTTTCAAGAGGCTCTCGACCAGAAGTCGCTCCCGAGCCTCTTCACTACTGGGATCACTCATTTGGTTCCTAAAGATCAGGGTGCCACAGACCCGAGCAAATACCGCCCCATAACGTGTCTACCGACCATATACAAGACACTAACATCCATTTTGAGCGCGAGAATCACTCGTCACCTGGACTCAAATCAGGTGATGTCGCGCGGTCAAAATGGATGTCGGGGCGGCGGTCGTGGAACCAAGGAACCACTCCTCATTGACGCGGTCATTGGCAAAGTGGTGAAACGCAACCGTCGGAACTTCTCCGCCGCCTGGATAGATTACAGAAAGGCAATTAATTCGGTGCCCCATACATGGCTAAAGAGGGTCCTCGAGTGTACAAGATTGACTATACAGTTTGGGACTTCCTCGAGCAGTGTATGGGGCAGTGGAGTACGATCCTCTGTCATCTAGGCGAGCGGATGACGGCTGTGGAAAGCCGCATAAGGATAAGAAGGGGTATATTCCAGGGCGACTGTCTGAGTCCAATCTGGTTCTGCCTCTCTTTGAACCCTCTCAGTTATTTACTGGAGGGCTCCGGGAGGGGATTTCAGCTTCGGAAAGGAGGTACAAAAGTGACTCACCTTTTCTATATGAATGACCTCAAATTATTCGCCTCCAGTCGCTCCCATCTTATGGAATTGCTAAACATCACTTGTGAATTTAGCAATTCTATTAGAATGGAGCTGGGGACGGATAAGTGTGCGGTCCTCTATGTTGAAAGGGGAAGGGTTGCTAAATCTGAGGGCATAGACTTATCTATGCCCGTCAACTTAAGGACCCTTTCCGAGGCTGAAACATACCGATACCTGGGTATGTCACAGAACATCGGTATCGATGAGGCTGGTATGAAACAGTCAGTTTGCGACGTGTTTTATGCGCGCTTGATCAAAGTGCTTAACAGCCTTTTGACTGGTGTGAATAAGATACACGCATATAATGGCTGGGTCATGCCTGTCCTCATGTATACCTTTGGCATACTCAGGTGGAGTCAGACTGAACTTAACGCCCTGGATAGAAAAGTCCCAACGTCCCATAGGATGCATCATCCGAGATTGTCGGTAATGAGGCTGTACTTGCCGCGAAAGCATGGTGGGCGTGGCTTCTTGAGCGCGCTCACCATGCATAATCGCGAAGTGTGCAGCCTCCGTGATTACTTCCTAGCGAGATCGGATGATCCATTCTATAATGACGTCATTTCTAGTGATAAAGGACTTACCCCTCTATCCTTAGCCAACGAGCAATTGCAGGACCCGGCAGTACAGAGCATTTCCGACCGGGAGACCGTATGGAAGTAGAAGGAGCTACACGGAAGGTACTACAGGTCTCTACATGAGCCCCACGTAAATACAGCTGCCTCCCTCAACTGGCTACGTTTCGGTGACCTCTTTGGGGAAACCGAGGGTTTTGTCTGTGCAATACAGGATCAGGTTATTAAGACCAACAACTATCGGAGATACATCCTAAAGGATGGCACTGTCGACATCTGTCGAGCTTGTCGCCATCCCGGGGAGTCACTTAGGCATGTCATCTCCGGTTGTTCAGCGCTTTCTAACTCTGAGTACTTGCACAGGCACAACCTGGTAGCCAGAATTCTACACCAGGAGCTCGCTCTGAAATACGGTCTCGTGGAACGGAAATTGCCGTATTACAAGTACTTGCCGGAAGCCGTGCTCAAAAATGACCGCGCCAGGCTCTACTGGGACCGGGCCATCTTCACGGATAGGACTATTCTTGCGACTAAGCCTGATATTGTGCTGATGGACCGGGCACAGTCAAGGATATTTTTGGTCGACATTACCATTCCGTATGACGAGAACCTCGTGAAAGCCGAAACAGATAAACGAACAAAATATCTGGACCTGGCTACGAGGTGACCGACATGTGGGGTGGTATGCCGGCCGAAATTATTCCTATAGTCTTCTCTGCGAATGGGCTAATCCCAGTCAGCCTCTCGGGTCATCTGAGGCGACTGGGACTCCGTGACGGAACACTCCGGGCTTAAATGCAGAAGGCGGTGCTCCTCGATACCGCCCGCATCGTCCGTCGGTTTCTTTCCCTTTCCTCCTAACCCTCGGCCGTTTGGTCTCCCCTGCCGAGGGCTTCCATCTGGTTGGGCTTTTATTTATTTATGTATTTTTATATTTATTTTATTTTAATTATATTTATGTATATTTATCTTTTTATTTTAATTTATAATTATATATTTATAGAACCCAACCAGATGAGAAAACTATATAGATACCCCACATAGTAATAATAATAATTTATTTAACTCTCAATTGACAGGTTACACTTATGTATTATATCTAATTATATTTAGATACCAATTACATACTGATGACATATGAATAATATTTTTTGTTTTCGTATTTTTAAAAAAAATACTAAAAAAGGGCTCGAAATAATAGATTTAAGTAGGAACTTGAAAAAACAAAAGGAAAAAAGTCTGATCGAAGACAGGACCCGAACAAGGGTACTACGATTTCAGGACCGCCCGATATCCCATTTGTGCTGCTATTATAATCATTAACGCATTGCCTGAAAACATGGATAAAACTAAAATTTCTAAAAATGAATCACTATACATATATCGATATATATATATATATATATGAATATATATATATATATACTATATATACCCTAAATCCACGTATATTTATATAACATAGATTCCTAAGGATACCGAAAGTTAAGATATTATTATTTCTAGGTATATCTTGATAATTAGTTACCTAATTACTGACTCTATAGTTACAGATTTATTATTTGTCTAGTGACCCGACCACAGCTTCGCAGTTTTTGAATTTTTTGCTTATAATTTCAATGAACTCACAGTACTAGTTACGACCTACTAATGAGAGATTAGCATATACTTGTTAATTGTCGATAAAAGAAAGAGATTGAATATATTAACGCTTCCCATTGCCACTCTTTCATTAATAATGCCGATTATAAATGTAATATATGTTTGTAATTAGCAAAAAAAAAATGTGTAACAGAAAATGTTAAGTAGATAAGTTATCTGAGTTTAAAATATGTTCACGTTGCTATAATGTCAATTTTTCTAGATTTTGCATATTAATCTTCCTCACATTGAACACTAATGTTCTTTTTATTAGCAAATTACTAGTACAACATTGCGTATATTGCATAACACCTCGGTGTATTCTACAACCATCTAATATCAAAGGATTCAACTTACTTAACCCTACAGTAGGAGCAATTTTAACAAAGGCGCGTAACGGGCTAAGGATACAGATACTCGCACGCGGACGCAAGGTGTATTTTGATTTAATACGCGCGCCGCATTATAATTTTTTTCAACGCTTTAATCGGTAGGCTAATTTCACGGAGGTCGCTTCCAAGGCGTGCAAAGTATTATGAACATTAGCAACGTTGTAATTAGGTTAAACTCGCAAGTTTGCCATCAGAGGGTGATCTTTCTGTTCTTGTAACTATTATTTATTCTGTGGTTTCACCCACAGGTGCAGTCTGCTTGCTGGCCGAACAGCCGACTGGTCAAATAATTGTCAGTTAGTATATGAAATAAAATTAAGAGTTTATTAACATTAAATAAGCGGTTGAAAAACATATATTAAAAAATACTAGCGATCCACCCCAGCTACGCACGAGTTATTTCTGAATCTCGACGACAATTATTGATCAACATTAAATGTGTTAAATTTAACAATATTTGCACAATATCAATTGATTTCTTTAAACACATTCTTTTTAACTGGTTAGTTAAAAGTTAGTAAATATCTTATGTTACAGAGAATATAATATATAAAATATCTGAAATGATAAAATATAATTATTAATTTCGAGGCTAGAGAGGGAAACTGAAACAAAAGATGGGCAATACGAGGCAATCCGTGGAAGTCTATGCATAGCAGTGGTCTTTTGATGATTACAGCCCATGCCTTGAACTTTCAATTTCTTACATATTAGCTGTTTAAAAGTGAATATAGTCTGATTAATATTAAATAGACATCAATTTAAGCTTTACTATTAGTGAGTAGTGACCGCCATTATTGCGTATGCGTAGCACATGGATTGTTTCCTTTGCGTAGACTTAATATACAAGTGTGCCCTCTAGTTCGATAAAAGTAAGTCTAGTTTACGTGATCATACTGAAGATGGCAGCACAAAAAGATATCAATTTGTTCTCAAAATAATGTTCTAAGTTGCATGCCCATGGTTTAGGAGGAGTTCAGTC